GGAGCGTGTGGAGGGATGAGTTGATGTTACTTTCCTTCCTGTCCCTCCACCCTCTGGCATTCTGCACTTGGTCTTTTTTTTTCTTTTTAAAAAAACTTTATTCATTTTAGAGAGAGAGAGCGAGACCAGCAGTGCTGACAGGGTCCTATCACTCCATGATTCTCCCTTTTCCCCTCTAGCTCTCTGGCCCGCCAGGATCGTGGGCCCATGCACACCTGATGTTCCCGGATCCACTGGGATCCGAACCCTTGGCCCCGCATGGCTTCCAACAGTGTAGAGAAGAGTCCTATTGCCTGCATCACTGCAGCTGAGTCTCAAAAATGCTTACAAGGAGTGGGATGTATCCTTTTCTTTAAAAAAAAAATTAATTCCATTCATTATTATTAATTTTTAAAATTTGATCAGAGAGAGACTGAGAGAGAGAAAGGGAAAGCAAGAAAGCAAGCCGCAAGGTCCAGGACTCAAACCAAGGTCAGCCGTGTGGGAATCCAGTGCCTTTAACCACCATGCCACCTGCTGGCCCCAGGGATTTATCATTTTCAATTAAAATAATTTGTTTTGGAGAAAGATTTTTGCTGTAAGGTATGTGCACTCACTGGAATGACAGAGACAGAGAGACGGAAAGCAGGAAATCAACCCCCAGGGGGAAAGGCCATGCTGCAGCCCCATCTGCTCCATTCTCTTCTCAGGATCTTGGGCACACACACCTAGTAAAAGTTTTAAGCCACAGTGTCCAGAGCTCGAACTATGTCGACTCTGTGGTAGTCCAGTGACATAACCATTACACCATCTGCTGATCTCAATTGTTTCTATTTAAATTTTAAATTTTGCTATAGAGTGCATGCATTCACAGATGAGACAGAGAAAGCGGTCAAGTGAGAAAGCACCCATGGGGGGAATGGCAACGCTGCAGTCCCTTCTGCATTCCTCTTCTGGGATTTGGGGTATGCACACGCATGCGCCTGACGTGAGGCTGCCAGGTCCAGGCCTCGATGTGTAGTCAGCCATGTGGGATGCAGCCACCTTACCCACCATGCCACTGATTGCTCTCTCAACTTTTTAAAAAGTTTACTTATTTCTTCCGTGAGCAGGAGAGAGACAGGCACTCTCAACAGAGTCCTTGCACCATAATCCATCCCATGTCCCAGCCGGCCCAGATCCCCATTTGCTCAGGGAGGTCACAGGACACAAACTCAGGACCTTCCCATGTGGGTCAGCTTTGCAGAGCATTGCATTTTACTGCCGTGCCACGGTCCAGCCCTGTGTTCAATGTTATTTCACATTCAATTTATTTTTCAGATGGATAAACGGTTGTGCCAATGTCACTTATTACGTGTAGTATCTGTTTCTCACTCAAATACCATCTTTCTTTTTCTTTTTCTTTCTTTTTTTTAAGAGAGATTGTGGCTAGAGGGCACACATGCTCACCAGAGAGACAGAAAGCAAGAAATCACCCCCAGGGGGATGGCCATGCTGCAGTCCCTGCTCCTCCATTCTCTTCTCAGGATTTTGGGCACGCACGCTCAAACGCAGCTGGCATGAGTTTTAAGCCTCTGGGTCCAGGACTCAAACTGCGGTCAGCCCTGTGGGAGTCCAGTGATGTAACCGTTACGCCATCTGCTGGTCCCCCGTCTTTATTGTATATGTAAGTGTTGAGATACAGATAACTGAATTCCCTACTCTGTGCCACTCTTATGTTTGCTCCTATTCCACTGGCAGTGCATGTTTGTGTTTCACAATAATTCGATTAGTGTAGCTTTTTTTTTTTTTTTTTGATATAGGGCATGTGCCCTCGCCAGAAAGACAAAGAGACAGAAAGTGAGAAATCACCCCCCAGAGGGGATGGCCACGCCACAATCCCTTCTCCTCCATTCTCCTCTCGAGATCTTGGGCACACATGCACACGTGCCCAGTGTGAGTTTAAGCCACCAGGTCCGGGACTTGAACCATGGTCAACTACATAGGAGTCCAGCGACATAGCCATTATGTCAACTGCTGGTCCCCAATTAATGTAGCTTTCTAAATTAATTTGAATGTCTTTTGGGTTTCCCAGTTGAGAATGTTTGCTAGTGGTTTTTCTATTTATGTAGTTTCTTCCTCTCTTTTCTTTTTAGAATTTTATTTATTTTTATTTCTAATTTGACCAGAGAGAGAGAAAAAAGGAAAGTGAGAAAACAAGCTATCAGGCCCAAGACTCAAACCGTGGTTGTCCATGTGGGAGTCCAGTGCCTTAACCACTATGCCACCTGACAGCCCCACCCCATAAAGACTTTAAAAAAGAAAAAAAAGAGAGAGACTGGCAGCTGGCATGGTGGTTAAAGAACTGGACTCCCACATGGTCAACCACAGTTCAAGTCCTAGACCAAGTGGCTTGAAACATGCCAGGCACATGTGCGTGTGTGCCCAAAATCCCCAAAGGGGACTGGAGCAGAAGGGATTGATTATTGGTATTATTATTATTATTATTATTACTATTTTGGCCACAGGGCATGTGAGCTCTCTGGAGAGAGACAGAAAGACAGTGAGAGGGAAAGTGAGAAATCACCCACTGGAGGATGGCCATGCCACAGTCCTCTCTTCCATTCTCCTCCTGGGATTTTGGACATGCCCAACATGATTTTCAAGCCACCAGGTTCAGGACTTGAACTGCGATTGGTCATGTGGGAATACAACACCTTAACCACCACACCACCTGTGATTACTGCTTTTTGTAGGGGGAGAGATTTTTGCTATAGGACGAGTTTTCTCACTGGAGTGACAGAGAGAGACAGAGAGACAGAAAGCAAGAAATTACACCCCCAGGAGGATGCAATCCCTTCTCCTCCATTCCCTTCTTGGGATTTTGGGCACACACGCACACACCTCCAGCATGCGTTTTAAGCCGCCGGGTCCAGAACTTGAATCGTAGTTGACTCTGTGGGAGTCCAGCTACATAACCATCATACCATCTGCTGGGCCTATGTGATTACTTTTTTTTTTTTTTTTTTTTGAGAGGTTTTCACTATAGGGTGTGTGCGCTCGCCAGACAGACAGAGAGAGACATAGAGACAGAAAGCGAGAAATCACCCCCCAGGGGGGATGGTCACGTCGCAATCCCTTCTCCTCCATTCTCCTCTCGGGATCTTGGGCATGCATGCACACGCGCCTGGCATGAGTTTTAAGCCACCGGGTCTGGGACGTGAACCGCGTCGACTATGTGGGAGTCCAGCGACATAGCCATTACGCTAACTGCTGGTTCCCCGGTGATTACTTTTTAATACCCATTTTCAGTTTTAAGGGCACCTGAGGGTTCTTAGCTCTGACACACACCATGGTGGGCCCTGATGCCAGTCAGGAGGTGGGGCAGTGAGGACAATGCCCACCTGGGAGAGAGTGAAGGAAATGAAGGTGAGATGGCTGATGCTTGAGCCCTTCTCTCTGCAGCCTGGAGGGGGGCCAGGATGGCTCTTGCTCCCCAATGACTAGAGTTTCAGGTTTTTTTTTTTTAAGTAATTATTTAATTTAACTTTATTTATTTTAATTTGACCAGAGAGGGATAGAGAGAGAGAGACGGAAAGTGAGAAAGCAAGCTGCCAGATCCAGGACTCAAGCAGTGGTTGGCCATGTGGGAGTCCAGCACCCTTAACTACCACGCCAACTGCTGGCCCCTGACCAGAGTTTCCGAAGGAAGAGGGGCCAGCAAGTGACATGTTGGTTAAGGGCACTGGACTCCCACGTGGCCAATTGTGGTTCAGGTCCTGTACCTGGCGGCTTGCCTTCTCTCTCTCTCTCTCTCCCTCCCTCTCTGGTCAAATTAAAATAAATAAATAAATAAATAAATACACAAAAAGTTCAGTAAAACGATTCTAAAAAAAGGAAGAAATCAGAGCATGAGCTCATTCATGAAGCTTTCCCCTGCCTAGAATCCTCTTTCCCCCTGGGCCAGATCCTAAGCAGGCCACCCCCATGCCTCGGGACATCTCAGAAGCCATCTACTTCCTGCTGTTCCCCTTCCTGAGTTTCCCAACTGGTGACAGACTTCACTCTCTGCCATGCCGGTGCCTCTTGCTGAAACTCTTCTCGAGGCTATTAGCATATTCCAACTGGTGATTTCACAGTCCTGGCCGGGCTGCCTGTGTTCTCTCTGTCTCATCCGTCTCATCTGCTGGCTAGATTGTGAATTCCTGGGGGGGGCGGGAAACAACATTTTTCTGTGCTTGGCTTTCTGTCGTATGGGTGCCCAGTAAATGGAATAATAATAAGTGAAGGGCCAGCCCTGTGGGCTGGTGACTGGATAAGTTGGAGACCACATGGCTGGCCATGGTTCGAATCTGACCTCTGTGGCCTGAAAACCATGTTGGACACATGTGCATGGTTTGTGTGCCCCAAACCCCAACAGGATGGTGTGGAAATGGAAGAGGTGGGTTTGTGGGGGTGCTTTCCCTCCCCGCTCTCAGTTTCTCTCAGAAAAGCATGTTCCCTTGGACACTTTTTTTTTTCCCCTTTTAGATTTTTGTCATAGGTCATGCGCACTGGCTGGAGACACAGAGAGACAAAGAGACAGAGAGAGGGAAAGTGAGAAATCACCCCCCAGGGGGATGACCATGCTGCAATCCCTTTTCCTTTATTCTCCTCTTGGGATTTTTGGGCAGGCATGTACATGCAACTGGTGTGTTTTCCAAGTTGCCTGGTCCAAGATTCGAACCGCAGAGTCACCCATGTGGAATCTAGTACTCTAACCACTGGTCCCTCCCTCTGACAATTAAAAAAAAAGAAAGAAAGAAAGAGGAAAGGAGGTTCTTATGTGCTGGAAAGAGCACTGTCCTGGGAGCCAGCACACCTAAGTTCTAGGTGGCCTCTGCGGTCAGCTTGCAGTGGGACTTGAGCAACCGTCCTCCCATGCTGGGTCTCTGCCTCGTGGAGGTGACTAAGTGCTCTGAAGCCTGCTGACTGTGACACCCTTCTGGTTCCAAGGTTCCACAGTTCTAGAACCTACTCCCCTTCTCATTTTCTTCCCTCAGGCTGGCGCGCACGTGCCTCCCATGAACAGGGTCGTCCCAGAGGCGTTCCTCGCCGGCGGAGAACCGGTGCCCCAAGGCCGGACCCGCCGCTGCCTGTCTGCTGTGGAATCTAGAGACCAGCTAGAGGAGGAAGAGGAAGATGAGGAGGAGGGAAGAGAGAGGAAGGAGATGAACAGCTCCCATGCCGTGCCCCTCCGAAGGTCGGGGGCTTTCCGTGCCCACAGTCACACCTATGACCCCTTTAAGAGACACAGCTGGGGGTCAGGCAGGGAGCACCAGGACCCCATGACAAGGTGAGTGCCATTCCTTCCCAGACCTTGGCGAGAGCGGGTAGGAAAGAATATTCTGGTGTCCTGGCCCCTCCTCCCCCGTACCTTTCTGGAGACAGATGGAGAGCGACAGGAGTTGGGAAGGCCTGGCCCAGCCTGCTCCCTGGGGAATTGGCATCCAGGCCTGTTATGGACCTTGGGGAGGAAGGACCCTGGGACCCTGCCTTTCAAGAGGTGGCTCTCCCCAGTGGCTCTCGCTCCTTCTCTCTGCCTGACCTAGAGGACAAGCTGGGGGTGGGGAGAGGGAGCCGGTGCAGAGTCAAGTCGGGGCATCTATCAGGGCCGTGGGTCTTACTGCATCCACTCCCACTTCGGGTTTCACAGAACCATTAACAGTGTCAGAGCTCGTGGGAGCTCAGCAATCACGCGGCCCAATCCCCTCATTTTGCAGATGAGGAATCGGGCCCAGAGAGCTTTGGGAGGTTTCTCATAAGAAGTGGTCCCAGGGCCGGGGTGCTTGGCACGCCCCATGCCCAGGTCCCCACCAACCTGTCTGCTCCAGCAGAGGCAGCCCCACAATGTCTCCAACCGACCCGTTTCACAGCTGTGCGGCGGGGAAACAGCTATCCTCGCCTAGAGTTCTGTGAACTCTGGTTTGGTGGGGGGGAACACAGGGACCCATCTCTTCTCCCTGCCCTGGAAAAACCCTGACCACTTCCCCAAAAGCAGAGGAAGTCAGAAAGAGAAGGTCCGGAGGGTCTGCGTGGGGAGTTCGGGGTGAGTGGCCACTGCAGAGGCCTCTAGCCGTGGAAGGGCACCGTCCCTCTGCTATGGCCACGGTCCCTTTGGACGAGCTCCGTTAGCTCTGGCGGTGAGTGGACCAGCCTCTCCAGGGCAGGGCTGGGCTGGCAGGGCTGGGGAGGGAAATGTTTGCTGGGTCTTGTACCTGAATGGCTGGGCGGGGACACAGGTGAGAGCCACAGGTGAGAGCCATGCTTGCAGGACTTCTGGCACCTTCCTAAGAGCAGCTGGTGGAAAGCAGAGATGCCCAGAGGCTCCTGATGTGGCGCCAGCTGCATCTCAAGCTCTTCCCGGTGTCACCCGCCTTTTAAGTTCAGGCATTAATTTGGCCTCTGGGGTAGAGAGGGCAGAGCCCTGAGCATGCCACTCAGCTGAAGAGGGACAAAGGTTAACATCCCAAACCAGGCAAGGCGAGAATCCAGCCACCCCGGTCTCCGGCCAACACTCGTCGTTTTCTGGGGGGCAGTACCGTCTCGTGACCAGCAGGGGCCACCCTTGCCCACAGCCGACCCTGCAGTGCTGCCAAGCGGTGCCTCAAGGGAGCCAGCCTGGGTCCCGGCTGCGCTATGCCAACAGGAAGGGCTGGGCTGGGCTGGGGGCGAGTCGCAGGGCCGGCCTGGGGGTGTCCCTCTCTCCTGCCCGTCACTGGCCACTGGATACAGAGGGCAGTGGCGCCTATGTGTGTTTCAGGAGGAGACTGCTGGCGTCGGGATGCCCGGGCTCCCAGGAGGTCCCCTTACTACAGAGCCAAGAGGAGCTGGACACCTTTCTGGGACTGCAGCGCCAGGGTAGCCAGCCCTCCCACCTGGTATGAGACAGTTGCCCACTGAGGCCTTGCCGTGCTGCTCTCCTGCCCCCGCCCGCCCCCCACCACTCTGTGCCTCTTCTGTTCTGCCAGCTGCTGGCTCTCCGCGCCCTCTGACGGAATCTGAATCTGCCGTCTATGCCGCTCTGGCTGCTTCCCCGGTCTGCGCGCTCTGTCCCCGACTCTGCGCGCCCCGCCGCCTGTCTCTTCTCTAAGACTCTGTCTGTGTCTCTGTGTGGATTTTGCTGCATCTGTTTCTCCTCATTAAAAGGCCCCTGTTTGCCTCGCAGTTAAAACCACTTCTTTCTGTGACCCCCACATTCCCAGGTTTGGAGGGGACCTTATTATCTGTGGGGTGAAACTAGGCGTCTGGTACGCTGAGACAGGAGTTCTCTAAAGGCATAGTCCCAGGGTTATCAGTGGAGAAGGGAGAGTGATCATCCAGCCTTCTGTCTTTGTTCTTTCTAAATAATTATTTTATTGTATTAATTCTTCTTATTATTATTTTAATTTGCTATAGCACTTGTGCTCACCAGAGAGAGAGGGGAAGTGAGAAAGTAAGCTGCCCGTCTGGGACTTGAACCGCTGTTAGGCATGTGGAAGTCCAGCGCCTCAACCACCATGCCACCTTCTAGCTCCAACCCAGCCTTCTGTGTTAAGACAACCTAACTGGGGGTATCCGAAAGCAGGCTCTGAGGACCACTGGGGGTACACGAAAGCCTTAGAGACACCGGAGAACTGCAGCTAAGCGTCTCCAAGCGCAGGAGATGCCTCGAGCCCATGGTGAAGGCTGCCTCCCCTCCAGGTCGCCCTCTTCCTGGCCAGAGGCTCCAACCCTGGGCTCACTCTCTGGCTGCCTGTGGCGCAGGAGAGAGGCTGTGTGTGTGCATGCGTGTGTGTGTGTGCACGCGTGTGTGTGTGTGTGCAGTCTGAGAACCCATCTTTTTCTTTGATTTCTTTCTTGTGACGGGGTGACCCAACAGGGTCAACACAACCTACCTCCAGCCTCGCCCAGAGCCAGGATCACAGGCATACGTGTACCTGCCTGGTGCATGCAGGGAGACGCTGGGACTCAAACCAGGCTCTTCCCACCTGGCCTCGGCACTGAGGAATGGCCTGTTCCACCAGGATGGCCCAAGGGCCCATCTTACTCCTTCCCTGCTCTTCTCCGTCAGCATGCCCACGTCTCCCCACTCCCACTTCCACGTGGTAACTGTACAAAGAACAGGATTTTAGAGTCAGACGCCGAGATCCTTCATTTACAATCCAAGCAATTTAGTTCATATTTCTGGAAATAAGAATCATACAACTAGGGCCAGAAAGTGGTGTGGTGGTTAAAGCACTTGACTCCCACATGACCAACCATGGTTCGAGTCCTAGACCTGGTGGCTTGCTTTCTCACTCTCCCTCTCTCTTTCTCTTTCTCTCTGTCTCTCTCTAGTAAGTAAGTACATAAATAAATAAATAAATATATATATATATATATATACCCTGTACCAAACTGAAAAAATAATAATAATGATAAATCAAATTAAATAAATAATTCTTTTTTAATTCATTCATTCATTTAATTTGATCAGAGAGAGACAGAGAAAGAGAGAGAGAAAGTGATAAAGCAAGCCACCAGGTCCAGGATTTGAACCATGATTGGCCATGTGAGAGTGTTCAACGCCTTAACCTCCATGCCACCTGCTGGTCCCTAAATAAATCATTCTTTTAAAAATATCTGCTTTCTTAGAATAATTAAACTATCATTGGGATCGGCAGATGGCGTGGTGGTTAAGGCGGCTGGACTACCACATGGTTCAAGTGGTTCAAGTCCCGGACCTGGCAGCTTGCTTTCTCACTTTCTCTCTCACTCTGTCCCTCTCTGATCAAATTGAAAAATGATAGATAGATAGATAGATGATAGATAAAGTTAGATAAAATCTGAAGGGGAGAATGGGGAAGGGACTGAGTCATGGCCATCCCCTAAGAGGTGATTTTTTGCCTTCCCCTCTTTCTTCCTCTGGCAAGCACACATGCCCTATGGCAGAAACCTAAAAACAAAAACAAAAACAAAAACCAAAAAATGTTATCGCTATATTGGGGCCAGCCTATGGCATGGTGGCTAAGTAGGCTGGATCCTACATGGCCAACCACGCAGTTTGAGTCCTGGACCAGCAGCTTGGAAGAACAGGCTGGCACGTGTGCATGCCCAAAATCTAAAGAGGAGGGACAAAGTTGTGACTATTTGGGACCAGCAAGCGGCCTTAACCATTGCGCCACCTGCTGGTCCCTCCCTAAATAAAATAATTCTTTAAAAAAAAAAAAAAAAAGTGATTATTTCATAAAAAAAGAGTTCCAAAAAAATAAATAAATAAAAGAGTTCCAGTACCTGGCACCAAGGCCAGCACACAGGATGAGCTTGAGCTCCATAAACATTTTTCTTTCCTCCCCTCCTTCCCTTTGAAAGGCTTCCCTTCTCACCCAGCTTTGTCCTCTTCTCCCCCTTCTGCCCCTCTTGACAGTGTCTTCTTTTCCACTTCTCTAGTACTCGTTCCTTTCTTGTGCCTTCCTGCTCCAATGCCTCTCCTCTCTATTTAATTCTTTTCTTTAAAGAATTTTATTTATCCGTGGTAGAGTATATGCATGCACATGAGAGAGACACCTGCCACAGGCCTGGTCACACCGTGACCCCTGTCCTCCGGCCCTCCAGCCTGTCCGACTTCATGCCTGCGCGGTATGCCCGACATTGTTTCAGGCAGCCCAGGGATTCCAACCGTAGTTGCCATGTGGGCTCCACCTTCCCTTGATGGGTGCATTGCCACTGTACCATGGAGTCGGCCTTGATTTGATTTTTAAAGCCAGCAGATGGCGGAGTGGTTACATTGCTGGATTGTCACATGGCCAACTGCGGTTTGAGTCCCCGACTTGGTGGCTGCAAAATCATGCTGGGCAGGGACCAGCAGTTAGTGTAATAGTTATGTCGCTGGACTCCCACGTAGTCGACCGCGGTTCGAGTCCTGGACCCAGTGGCTTAAATTCACACTGGGGCATGTGCATGCATGCCCAAGATCCCAAAAAGAGAACGGAGGAGAAGGGATTGCAGCAGGGCCATCCCCCCTGGGGGGTGATTTCTCGCTTTCCGTCTTTCTGTCTCTCTCTGTCCGGCGAGCGCACGTGCCCTATAGCAAAACCCTCTCCAAAAAAAAAAGAAAAAAAAATCATGCTGGGCACATGTGCATGCATGCGCAAGATCCTGGGAGAATGGAGAAGGGATTGTAGTGTGGTCATCCCCCTGGGGGGGGGAGTGATTTCTCACTTTCCCTCTCACTATCTCTGTCTCTCTCTCTGTGTCTTCAGCAAGTGTATTACCCTAAGGAAAAAAACTCTCTTAAAACAAAACAAAACAAAAACCTGTGTCTACATATTGGGAGATTTTGTTTGTTTTCCTTCTTCTAGTAGCAAGTGTAAATAAATACTCCATCGAAGTCCACAGACTGAAAGCTTGAGACTCTTTAAGCTAGACTGGAAGACTGGATCTTGCAGACTGACCATGAGCCAAGTATAGCTCCAAAATCTATTTTGTCTGGCTAATATGGTGCTTTACTCTCTCTCTCTCTCTATATATATATATATATATTTTGGGGGGGGTGCCATAGGGCGCATGTGCTCAATGGAGAGTGACAGAGAGAAGAGAGAGAGGGAAAGTGAGCGATCACCCCCGTCCCAAGGGGGAATGGACACACTGCAATCCCTTCTCCTCCATTCTCCTCCTGGGATTTTGGGCACACACACACAAGTGCATAAGTTTCAAGCCACAGGGTCTGGGACTTGAACCATGGTTGGCTGTGTGGGAGTCTAGTGCCTAGCCACCATCCCACCTGCTGGCCCTGGTGCTTATGCTTTTTAAAATTCAGATGTCCTTAAATGGGACCTGTTTCTCCAGTTTGCCAGAGTTGCTGCTACTGTGTTGTATTTTCTCCTGTGTCTTTTTAAAATAATACTTAACATGAATGCCTAGTAAGCCAGCACCCATCTCCAGAACTAAAGCGTCATCGACACATTTCTCTTTATGTGCTCCTTCCCTCTCTTATTCTCTTGCATTCTCACCAGGGGAGGATAGGTAACCAGTTTATTTTATTTTATTTATCTTCCACTTACCTTTTTAAAAAGTTTTGACAGAAGCATATATCTTATCTAGCCTTTTTGTGTTTTTATCTTTTTTTGGTTTGTTTCTGAGTTTCAAAACAGTACATCATAGAGCCAGCAGGTGGCATAGTGATTAAGGCTCTAGACTCCCACATGATAGACTGTGGTTCGAGTCCTAGATTGGGTGGTTTGAAAATCACTCTGAGTGCATATATGCATGCCCAAAATCCTGAGAGGAAATGAGAAGGGATTGCAGCGTGGCCGTTCCCCTTGGGGGTGATTTATCACTTTCCCTCTCACTGTCTCTCTGTCTCTTTCCATCTAGTGAATGTGCCCTATGGCAAAAAAAAAAAAAAAAAAAAAGATAACCTAAAAAATAAAAGAATTGTGTCATATTGTACAAAATTTTCTCTAACTTGCATTTTTAAAAAGTATTGCTTTAGTTATTTATTTATCATTTTAATCTGGGAACCAGCAGTTGGCGTAATGGCTATGTTGCTGGACTCCCACGTAGTCGACTGCGGTTCGCGTCCTGGACCCGGTGACTTAAAACTCAAGCCGGGCACGTGTGCGTGCATGCCCAAGATCCCGAGAGGAGAATGGAGGAGAAGGGATTGCGGCGTGACCATCCTCCCTGGGGGATGATTTCTCGCTTTCTGTCTCTCTGTCTCTCTCTGTCTGGCGAGCACACGCGCCCTATAGTGAAAAACCTCTCCAAAAAAACCCAAAAAACAAAAAACACTTTAATCTTACTTTATTTTATTTAAGAATTATTATTTTTAAAATTTTATTTATTTATTTTTATTTACTTCTTTTTTTTTTTTTCTTTTTGGAGAGGTTTTTGCTATAGGGCGAGTGCACTCACCAGA